GAGAAGCATAAGGGGACTCTGGGTCAGAGACATGAATGTGTGTATTCATAATCAAATAATGTTCCAAATTTTTTTTTCATTTTTTTAGTAAAACAAAGAAAATAAACAACAAACTCAAGACCAACTAGAACAGGTCTAAAAGAAAACATTGAAAAACGTAGTAATAACGCTGAAGAGAAACCCGCAGTATTCAAATAAGACCATCATTGTAATTTCTGCCATTGAGAAAAAGAATATAAGAAGTAATAATGGGGAGCTTATATACAGATCAGGTATAGAGGGCAAATTGATGTAGGTGGAGAGAGTCACAAGATTAAAATTGATCTGGGAGATATAGTGGAGTATAAAGAGTGGAGCAAGTAAGGTATAATTCATATCAATGCTTAGATGGGCAGAGAAGAGAAACTTTCATTAGGATAAAGTTAAAGTGTAAAAAGAGGTGTGTCTCGGAAGGCAAATTTAATCCAACGTTTTCCCACTATAAAACAGCCAACTGAATGAATGGAGACAGTCAGCTACATTGTCTAATGCCAAACAAGAGTTTCTCACCATACAGTGAGCAAGCAGAAAACAGTCCACACTATAAAGTTAAGGAGAAACAGATGAAGGGCAATGCCCAAGATCAATACAACTATGTTATCAGCCAAGACCACTTTGACAGCTTTAATTTTCATTACCAAGAGAAGGAATTCAGTGATAAAAGATCTTATTTAGTGCATTTCATGACTTCATTGTGATTGTAGCCAATTTCAAAGATCATAATGATAAGAAGAATGTTCTTATACATTTTGTTAATTTTCATAGCAAGGAACAGTGTTAAGTTTTAAGGTAAGGAAGATATCTTTTGGTTTGGAAAACAGTGTGATGTCATCGCTGGCATAAAATCTAATAATCTTTCTTCATTAATATGGTGGAAAGGCCTGTATTTCAGCCATTTGTGATTGACCTTAATATGTCTCTCCTTTGTACTACAGTGTTTGCTGGATGTAAATGGTCCACACTGAAGAGTTGTTCAATGTCTATAATAACTTCAGATTTAAAAAAATATCCCTGTCTATTGTAACTTCATGTTAAAATAAAAGATACCCAACATTACATAAAAGAAGAGGGATCTAAAAAATGAAGGGATGGGATAGGAAGCTGAAGACCAAAATGTCAATAGATCAATGACTGAAGAGTTGTTCACTGTATCATAATTTCAGGTTGAAGAAATAAACTCTTAGGAATAGGCAAAACCTAAGATGCTGACTTACAAGGTGATTATTTTAGCAGATAATCTGTAACTTAAAACTAGTATACAACTGAAAACTACACATAAAATGAGCAAGAAACAAAAGCTATAGAAAAAATAGCACACACCTTGTTTTGAAGAACTATATATATGTTATTTTCAATTCTGAAGTTAATCAAGTGATTTAGTGATTTGAAGTTCTGGTACTAGTAAAATTACAAAAATATACAATTGGAACTTGAAAAAACACAGATATTTGTAATTAAAGACATTCTTAAATTCAATTTCTAAATTAATCGGTTGATATTTGAGAACAGTCTAACAAAAGGTCAATAAAGAAGCTTCAAAAACTTCATAACATACAAGATTAAAACTAAACTAAAATTTTAATGCTCACTGCATATTTTTACCATTACAGCAACTGAATAATATTTGAGTTTGACCATTTTTGGCTGGTCAAATAATCATTCCTAACTACACCCATTACTTTGTATTTAACATACATTAATACATGAATCTAAGTAAACAATAATGTGTTTCTTTGTTTCTTTACTTTTTAAACTCTACAAAAATAAGAAATAAAAACATGTTGTGCCTAAAAAGACAGAGTAAAGTACATATTACCTTTAGGGATGTATTAACTGCCAAACCTTCTGCAAGCAGAGCAAATTTATCAGGAAGTAGACCCAATGTGTTCCACTCTAAACAAAGACTAAATAAAGCACACAAAGCATAGTGATTTGTGATTTGCTACTCATTCAACACATACATTGTAAAATAACTGCAACAGATGTCTTACAATATCAATACTTATATACTTATGATTAAGATTCACATATAATTAATGCCAACAAAGTCAAAAGACCTGTACATATTGCATAAAATACATGCAAGTTACCTGCACCAACTTGTTTAAGCTATACAGAGACAATTCTATGAAAATTGGGTTGTAACAGTAATCCTGCAATGTGGTCAAGAAAAGTAAAAACTGCAACGTATAAAAATAAGTAAAGAGTTAGTGGTTGCAACACAAGACAAGAAACAGGGAGATAAGTGAAGTAATTCATAGTAGAAAATATTAAATGTATAATATCCTAGATGTTGGAAGTGCAATGATACTAATAAACTGTACAAACACAGGTTTAACAATACAGAAAGAACATTGTTAACTAAAAAAGGAGGCTTCCCAGAGTTAATTTGTAAGTCAATAAAATAAGACCTGATAGACAAAGATAGACTTAACAATTTGGAGAAGTAGTAACCTCGATAGATGCCAAACCCAACATACTGGATAAGCAGTAACCTCTTACAAAATGACTGTTAGGACTATAAGATATGAAGGAAAAGCAAAAAAGACAATCAATAACTCAGAAAAACAGTAATCTCTAAGAACTAGTAGTCAACATTGTAACATATGAAGGATAAGCACAGATTTAATATAACATGGAGAAAAAAGCAACACCAAAGGACTGATTGTCAATATCACAAGACCTAAAGCAAAAGCTGGACATTTAGTAACTTTCACTGATTGGTAGATAGTGTCAGAACATCTGAAAGACAAACAGAGGCCTCTACAGACTGATATCCAATAGCCTAAGATTTGATAGGTAAGCACACTCTACAAATGGTAACTTAGTGTTTGAAAAATTTGCAGCCCATCTTTTGAGTGTTGTCTTCAAATAATTAACTATGATTGGTTTGCACAAAATGAACGGAAGCTTGTCACTTTGCTGAGATAAATAATTTTCATTATGTAAACATGCCTATAAGGGTTGAATTTGTCAGTTATCAAAATAAGATCACCTTGAAACATGTATACTGGTCAGGACTAATGCTTTGTCACTTTTCCTATGATAAAATACACTTGTGATCATTTTTTGCAAGTTTTTAGATAATATGCAGCCTATACATGTATGCTTTTCACTATGTCTGTTGCAATTCAACACAAAGGTCATCATCTATGTTTTTCGCTGATTTTAAGAAATACTTGCCTCATGTTTTCAACTGTATCTGTTAATGTATTTCTTACCAATTTTTATGTATCCCTTGAATGCAGAATGGGTTGTTCTTTTACATAATTGATTTATTTTGAACCCTAGATTAAAATGATTGTGTAAATGCAATCACCAGGAAACAATATCATACAATCTGACAATAACAGACTCAAAAGTAAAAAGTAGCAACACCCAAGGAATGATAGACAAGTACAAAGCTTCAAAAAGTGAAGAAATAGCAACTTTCAAAAACTGGTAGTTAATACTAAAATATCTAATAAACATAAGTAGAGAAACAAGCTTTCAAGAACTGATAGTTATAATAAAAGATCTGATAAATGAGCAAAGGCATAAGAGGTAGAGAAGCAGCAACTTGTGAGAATTGATAATTACTATAATAAGACCTGACAGACAATCAAAACAAAGGTTCAAGAAATGGAGAAAGAGCATGGTGCAAGGGTTAATAACTAACTCTTTAGGAATGGGTTTGTGTATCTTACACAACCTTGTAATCATGAAGGTATACAAACTATAATTCTGAAAGTACTTAATGCAGCTTCGTGAAATTTGGCAAGGTTTCAGTAAATATCGCAAGTCTTTTGTAGTCAAAAAATCAGAATTTTAAATTCAGTATTTTTACTAAAAAATTTATGTGAAAATATAGGGAGTCAGAGTGTTGACTGCTCTTAGTGCAAAGTGATTTTCATGATAAGATTAAAAATACTTTTCTTCCTCTGAAAATTTTCAAATTTCATTTGTGTAATCTTTAAAACCTCCTAAATAAATATCAAACATTTTTTTCAGAAAAACTTTATATTTTATCTGTTATTTTCTCTACCATAACTCTATATGGGGTCAGTTGTTTGTTCTAAATAGTTTGAAGCTCATAACAGTATACATCTATTCATAATTAATTTTATTGACCTTTGAACTGTGTCTAACTAATAATCCCCCTACACAAGTTATAAATCATTCGGAGAATGTGCAGCTCATGTTACCATATCAAATTATGTAACACATGAGACGCTTGCAACCATACCTCAAAAATAATTTTATTCATTATCTTACCTAATCTAACCTAATTAGTTTTAATTTTGATATTCTAATTACTTATATCTGGGTCTTCTTTTTTGTTTTGTTGACTGTCCATGAAACTTAATCATACTTTTTTTTATACTAATGGTGCCATTACACAAAATAATTTCTATTTACTTAAATAATGCAACTAAGAACATAGAATAGTAACACACAAAAAACAAACACTGTTCTAAGAGGCTTTAAAAATTCAGCTAAGCTTGTCACTGTGATTCCCATGAGAAAAAACTTGAAACTGAACAATGAAATAGAGAATGCCCGGTACAGAAAACAATCTAATATAATATATCATTTGACAGATTAAATGTTTGGCTTTCTATTGGTTATAAATAATACAGTATAAAATCTCAGAAAAATCTATAAGCAATTTGTAAAAGAGAGAATGTAACAGAGAGATGTGGCAAATGGGTCTGATTTTCTACTTTACGGTTCCATAAACAAATAAGAATGAAGTCTGTAAAAATTATGCTTTGCCCAAGTAATATCTATATTATAATAAATAATTTATTTTAAATTCCATACCTCTCAGAGGGGTGGTAAATAAATGAGAGAAGAGGGAAGACCCAGAGAGCAGATGCCACAATTCTTATACTAGGGGAGATTGAGGATTTCATTTATTTCCTTATAAAATTAAGTACTCTTATATTAAAATTTGATTTATTAACTAGGTTTTGATGTTATACTGATACTTGATATTATAAGATCTGATAGATGTACACAGACTTAACAAGTGTATATGCTGCAACTTCCAAGACTAGTAGTTAATACCAAATGATCTGACGGGTTCAAAATACAACTTCCAAGGACTGATGATTAAAACTACTAGCTGAAATGCTGCCCTACGAGCAGCTGTTTGTACTGGTAATTATTAATCGTAATATTCATACCTCACTGAAAACATTTTCTAAAAAAGGATTTTTTTTTTCTGGGAAGTACTGCACAGGAAAGTGTCCAGATTGTGCTTATTAGTCATACACAACTCATTACATCAAAACGATTCAATGTACAGAACTCAAAAGTTTTATAAATTTTACTCATATAAACTGTAATGTTTTTACACATTAAAAGTGGTACTGTTTATTGAAAAAAATAATAGTTTTTTTTAAGAACTCCAATTTCTCAGGACTACATTTAAAAATTACATTAATAAAGATATAATCAAACCCTCATGTACAATCCTAGTGAAAGTCGTGTTCTTGTTGTGAGGAGAGTTATTTTATTGAAAATTGTGTTCTATAATAAAGAAATGGTTGTTGCATATACCACAGTTATTTTTCTAATTGTCTGAATCTTGAATAAAGAGAGAATTATTTTTATGGAATTTTGTTTGTGGTGCCATTCAGTAGATGGCGCAGGAGTTTTGGTTACATACATAGATACTGACATACAACTATGTCAATTATAGTAAGATAAGATCTATCATACAAACAACTTCAACGAATGGTGAAGCATCAACTTCCAAGGACTGACAGTTAATTCCAAATAATCTGACAAATACAAACAAAGGTTCAAAAGTGGAGATGTAGTAACTTTGAAGGATAAGTGGTTAATACTGTAAGAACTTAGAGAAAAATGAAAAAGCAGTAGACCCCTAAATTACAAAGACTTCACAGACAAACTTAATACGTAAAAAATGGAGAAGCAATAACTTTGGAGGTCTGGTAATTAATATTATAAAATATAACAGACGAAGACAGACTTGAATGTGAAGAAACAGTGGCTTCAAAGTACCAGCTGTCCAAACTGTGAGATCTAAAAAAAATCAGACTCAAAAGAATTGGGGTAATTTTTGAAGGATACCATGAAAATCAATACACAAGTATTCAGTATAAATGCAAATAGTTTTGAAAAGCAAAGGAACAGAAATCAGTATCTGTTTCAAAATCAAGAACAATAATGTGGTGGAGAAGAAGAACCTATATAGACTTAATCACAAGAAATGACAAGCAAGAGATAACATAATAATTAGAAGTAACTCGCAAACATAAGCTAAATACAGAAATAATAGAGTATATCAAGCCTCCTTTTATATAGGTTGGTTTGCTCACAAACTTAAATGCCTTTCACTTAGAAATGGATATATTTCAAAGCCACTGAAGACAAGGATAACACTCATAGTTAATGTCCATTTGATCTTTAAAATGAAACAAGTTTCATATTGTATTCTGTAAAATGAACTAAGTTTCAGCACTATGTTTTAAAACTAACAAATGTATGGTTATGATGTCAAATATTATTAATATTCAAATTCAATACAAGAAATTAAACATTTGTGATTCAAGTAATTCTGAAATAATAAAATTGTATCTAACAGGGAGATTTTGTAAGTGTTAAGATGAAGCAAAAAAAAATTAATAGGATAAAAAAAGCTACACTATGACACTATGTTAATAGCATACATTATCAATCAAAAAATGTACAGTTGAAAACCAGTAAATGTAGACATGTAACTGGTAAACAAAAACAACTGTATGTACAATAAGCTGATCAGTTTATTATATGTCATCAACAATTATACAAACTGCATAATCAAATTGACATAATATGTCATTACCTTCACATAAATCATAATTTTGCTCAAACTTACTTTTGGAATACATAATACATGTATTGCTTTCTTATATAAACAACCATTATAAGTTAATGAGGCTAATATTTCTAAGTGTCTTTGTTTTTGAAGCACTGTGACTTCACCTGACTGTAGCATAAATCACTCTGATGACCTCTTGTTACCTTTTATAGTTCATACATAGATTCGTACTGCAACAGTCATTCTCAGAAAAACTGTCATAAACTGGTACCCCTTGACAGTGAAGGTCATTCTCAGAAACACTGTCATAAACCTGTACACACTGTGAGTGCAGGTGTTTTGTGGTCAGTAATTATCACCTTGCTTCCTGTTCAGATTGACCCCTACTTGACTCTTGTGGAGTCATGTATGGATTACTGAATAATGTATCCATATGAAATGTATGTTTGTTATAAGAAATAGCTGTTTGGATTTGGAATATGGATATAACATTATTGATTAAAGTTTCTGTTTTGAATGTTCGTCTATATCAAAATATCATCTGGATTATCAATTTCTGGACTAGTGAAGTTTCAATGTATATATTTACCATCAAATTTATATGTTTTTTTTAAAGATTTGTTTTGCATCTATTCTGAGCTAAAATAAAAGTTTTTATATGTTTCAAAGTTTCACTGGGAGGTCTGCAATTCTATCTTAAGAACTATTAACTACAAACTGTAAAAAATGTTTTGTAAGATTCACCATATCACAAATGTTTGGGATTTGTTCAGTATACCCACTTTTGTCATTTTTAAAATTTTTATAGCCACCTTGTAACCTGCTTGTTATGTCTGTGTTGAGCTGATCATTATAAAAAAAATGATATATTTATAATATTGTTATATACCTTATTTCCTTCTTGCATAGGTTAAATTGTTTAAGTTATTAAGAAGTTATAGCATTACAGCTTGTATAATAAAATACTGTACACAAGCACTCACCTTTTCACATGGTGATTATGACGAAGAAGACGTCCAACTCCTTCAGCACCAGCAACTCGCATATTATTTCCCTAGAGAAAAAAAAAAAATGTATTTTGAGCTATGCAAGTTCGTAATTGTTTTCTTTTATTCATAACAACATGTATGATAAAAGTTTTATGGGAAAAGCTATGGAATTCAAACTTTATTTCTTTGAAATTAAGTAAAAAAAAAAATAGTTTTTCCAATATACAATGGCAATATAAGGGTATATAAAAAAATGTTTCATACACCCAGTTTGAGTAAGTTTTTAATATTCTTGATCAACAAATACTACAATATCAATTTATGTTTTTGTTTCAGTCTATTTTTTCTTTAGTTGGAAGACCTAAAAATTTCTAGTTACAGTAACAACAAAAATCTTGATTTGCACTTATGAGACACGTGAACAAAGTAACAAGAAAATTATTTTCAAGATACTTTTTGATTTCAAAATTCACAATTATGAAGAATTTCAAACATACAAATATGCACTGTTACTAAAATAACTTTGAATAAAAATAAATATACAACAGTATTTACACAGCAGGCAAAAAGTTGTGACAAATGGATTTCAATAAAAACCTGATAATTTATTTTCTATTTTGTCACAACATAAATAACAATTTTGATGATGACCTCTACACTTAAAACTGTTATAACTTATTGTAAAGCATCTGGATTTCTATTTTTCCCATTTTTGATTATTTTTCCAGTTTATCTTGTAAAGTCTATCAGTCTATTTTGTGAAGTGCTTTTCTGACTAGTTATATGCAATAGTTTCTACACTTCTGGCTTAGATAATAATTATGCTTAACATATACTAGAGATCACTATACACATGTATATGATTATTTTGTTATTAAGTAGTAAATCAAAGTAGGTGCCAAACATACCCAAACATCCACATTACGCCAAGGATGAAGCCAATCGAGGATTAGCTAGAAATCATACATCCTGGTATTGTGATGCAATCACAATGATATGTAGTGAACAGGCAGTTATCCCGGGCCTCCTATAATGTATGTGCCACAAGATATGTAGCTGATGGCTCTTCAAGATGTCTTGGAAGAAGGGGGATAAATGTCGGCATTGTATGTGGAATGTTGAGTCATTTTCAAGTAAGTTGCCCATGCTGCTAGGTACTGTATGGGCAATTCACTTGAACATTACTCAACTTGGTCTCCTCTATTTTGGTGAAGCTATAGCACTAGTAATTATTGCTATATCTTTGATAAACTAGAGGAGAACAAGTTGGACCTAGCCACTGAGTTGGGGAGAGCAATGAACAATTTGCACCAAAAAGTGTGGTAATGAACCAAGCTCTCTCTCTTAGGGCTGGGTGTGAACCTGTTAGAGTACAATGGCAAGAAATAAAGTTTATACTTGATTAAATAGCTGCCATAACACTGGTAGATCTCGCAGAACATCAGGTGTTTCATTTGGGCCAGTTGACATAAACTTTATTCTGGCAAATGGTAATAAACTAGACGTTAATGGAGAGGCCACACACTGACTATGTTCAAGTGGTTTCACTTACAAAGCCTGGATAGTTGACAATGACCTTGGATCTGGTATCGCATCTTTGGAATGGATGTATTACAAAGCTTATCGGTCAATTTTGCCTGTGCAACTAACAAACTGATGTTCCACATTAGAGTTATCCAGTGTCAGCCAGACTGTCCCCACAAACAGTGAATGTATGTAGGAGAGGAAGTCAAAGTATCCCCAGGTACACAAGTGGTGTTCTGTAGTTTAATACAAACAAATTTTAGTGAGTCAATGCTGTGTAATGTGGTTATAGAACCCACGCATAAAATAAGCTGTGTCCTGTCCAGAAAGCAAGTAGCATTAGCTTGATCAGTTATCTGTCAAAGGAGGGCATGAAGTCCTGTTGTTGTTCTGCAATTATGGAGAATCTGTTATTTGTCTGCATGCTGGAATGGTTTTCGGCATGATATGTGAAGTGGAAGCAGCCAACACTAGTGATAATGCTTGAGTTGCATCCGTCACAACATATCTGACAGTCAATTCAGGAATACTAACATATTTGAGATTGCTAGTTGAGTGCCATGCAGACAATTTATATATATTTAGGATGTTCTAAAATGCATATTTGAAAGGAAAACTAATGATTTTGTGAAGAACCAACATAGTATGAAAATACTAGTGCTAAGGAAATATGCTCTCCGAGTACAAATTCTTATTCTTTTATGTATATGTTTTTATTTAATGTTGTATATATTTTTAACAAAAGTAATTAAAATGTAAAAATTACAAACTTATTAGATTAGATAACAAAAAGTAAGTGAAAAAGATTTAGTAAACAAATTCCACAAGACCAGCTCAAGCTAACTGCATAATGTCATTGTAACTTAATTGACTGTTTATACTAAGCTCTCCCACTGTAGTTAATTACCTGTCATGTACTTAGATAGGGTCTAAAGTGCATTTTAAAATAATAAAATTCAACTCAAGCAGATGTTAAATAGCTGAGGCTATTATGATAAATAATTGTAATTGTCTGTTACAACCTGCTGTCATTCTACAAAAAAATAGGTATAATTAATTTCATGTTGTGTTTTTCAATTTGTTTTTTCAATATAAGATAATTATTGCACTGTGGTAGAGAAAATAAGAAATAAAATATACAAGTTTTACTGAAAGAAGCTTTTGATATTCATTTAGGAGGTTCTACAGGTTATGGAAGTGAAATATGAAACTTTAAGACGAAAAGAAGTATTTCTATTCTTATCATGTAAATCACCTATCACTCAGACTGACTCATTAAAGGTTTTGTAAATTCACAGACAAATCTTTAGTAGAAATACTTTATTACAAAAAATCTGTTTCTTTGTATACAACACACTTATAATGCTTACTAAAAGTCTGCCCAATTTCATGAAGATACATTTAGCAAATTCAGAATTATAGTGAGCATTACTATCTATAGCTTCAAAGTAGCTGCAGTTGACAGAGGGTTAACATGCTTCGTTTACTTCATAGATTTGGCTGGCTTATTTTAATGTGTATTTTACAAGTTTCATTTTTGTATATTTTGTTAAAATGATTTTATTTGGCAAAAGGATCTTTTATTACTATTATTTTATATATCTTTTATGAAGGGTTTATTTTATGCTTTGATCTTGATTAAAGGTTCTATTGTTTTGCATGATATGTCTGACACTGTTAAAAGGTTTGTTTTATGCTTTTATTCAGTGTTAAAGTGTATACATTTGAATCTATATTAAAAAGTTTATTTTAGTAGTATGTATTTCTTTGTTCATTTTTTTATTACATTAAGGAATATGTTATATCTTAAATCTAAATAAAGGGTTTTTGATATATGAGCTCAATCATTTTGACTGGCTTTGCTACTACCATGTCATCATGTAACCATGAAAGTACACACACTGTAACTATTAATGTAATAACTCTCCATTAATATCTGGCAGGCTTTTAGTAAACATTAAAAGTTTCTAATTGAATAGAGTTGTTTAAACATTTGTTTAACAACAAGTAAAAGCTTGGAATGGTCTATTCTTTCATTGGGGGT